CCGCGCGCAGACACGACCACGCTCGCCGCCCTGTTGGTCGCGGCTCGCTTTGGGCCCGAATAGGCCACGCACGGCGCTCTCACCAGCCCTGCGCCGAAGCCCTGCGCCTCGGCGGCTCGCCCGCGGATGTCGCGGCCCATCCCTTCGCAGGACTTGCAAATGTCGAAATAGAGCGAGGCCCCTTCGAAGCCAGCGGCCCGGGACAGCCCGAGGTTAAGGTTGCGCGGGCAGGCCGCTCTGTCGCAGCGCGTGTCTGAACTCGGGCTCCAGACCTCGGGCAGCGCGCGGTCGGCCCCCCTTCTCGCGCGGTGGCGTCGCCTGATGCGGCCCCAGATACGCGGCCAAATTCGCGCTGCGCTGGTCGGGCGTCGCCCGCCATCAGGCTTGCCCAGAAAGACAACGATAGCGGCGAAAAGATCGGACGGCCGCGGACGCCTCTCCCGCGCAGCGAGGACCTCGGCAAGGCCTCGGGCGAAGAGGCGGCCGAGGCACGCGAGGAGCTTCGGGCGGAAGGCGCCCCAGCCGGGGGCGGTGCTCGTAGGGGGCGACTTCGCAACCTCAAGGGCCTCGTCCGCCGCGATCGCTGGCAGCCCCACCGCGCACTCCCATTCGGCAGGACGCATTCTATGGCAGTGCCCAGGTCCACTCCACGGCGCCATCCATTCAACCAGCCAACCGCCCGCTGCCCGAGCAGCGGCACGGGCAGCCCGCCTGCGAGTGGCTCGCCGCGGGCGGGCGCCTCATCGCGGTGGACATTCTCGATGACAGCGCGGGCCCCGCGCCCCCCTCTGGCCAGGGACTCGTCGACAAACTCCCCCCAGCGCCCCTTGCTGCGTAGCGCGTCCGCCGAGACATGGGCTGCAGTCGCGGCCGCCACGATTTCCTGGAACCACGACGCTCGTCAGAAGTCCGCTCGCACCTCCGTCGGCATAGAGCACGCGCGCGCAGGCGCCGCGGCCCGCAGGCCTGCCGCCCGCCGTCGCCACCGCCGCCAGCTCGGGCTGATTCACCAGGCGGCCCAGCGAGATCCACAAGCGGGTGAGCGGGCCCGCGGTCTCGACTCTCTCCAGGTCGACCAGACGCTTGCAGACCCGCCTGGCCCCCTCCGCTCGCCCGATGCACCGCTCGGCTTTCTATTCCTCGATGCCGAACATCTTGGCCAAGTGCTGCTCGGCGACCTCGTAGAATGTATTACGCACTGCCTCATCTGGGCGCCCTGCTGAGTTCAGTAGCGGAGCCTGCCGCCGCACTCCATCGGCCGCCTTGTCGGCTGCCTGCTTGGCCTCATCGGCAACCTCCGCGGCGACGTCGAACACCCTCGGCGACTGCAACATCCACGCCTTCGCCTGGGACCCGAGCGGGCTGAACGTCAGGCGCGCCAGCGCGCGCGGGCGGGTCGTCGCCGGCCGCGGCGCCCCCGCCCGAGGGCGCAGGGCAGCCGGCGACGCCTGGATTACAAATAATCACACGCGCGCTGCCGCACGCGGGGAGCGAGGGCGCGACAAGCACGCCTGCAACAGCTCTGGGCCACCAGGAGCCCCTCGAGTAGATAGGGCCCCGTGTTCCAGTCCGCGCCGACGACGAAGGGCCCAGAGAGCTCCCCGACGAGCAGCTGCATATCCCCTAGCATGTCGACGGCGTCCGCGCAGCCCAGCGGAATGCTCGAGGCAGGCACTAACCACGACGACCACCAGGTCGCCGAAGGCTACTCTCCAGGCGACAAGCCTTGCGTAGTAGGGGCCCCAATCCTGGTCCACCGCGCAGACTCCTCGGTGCTTCGCCGCGAGAACAACCAGCTACACCAGGCGACGCTGCCTGGGCCGCTGAGCCTGTCTTGCGACAGGGGCTAAAGGCCGCATGTAACCCATTTCGGGCCCCCCACCCCACCCCCCCGCCGAATCGTCAGCCTGCTGCGACGTGAAGCGGGCCCCCTGCAGCGGGAAGACGTCGCCCGTGCCCCCCCCGCCCAAGAGGCCTTCGACGGCGGGCTGCGCCTCGGTCCACGCGGAGCCGCTCACCGACGCTGGCCGACGAGGGCCGCGCCCCCGACGACGGGGTCGGGAGGCGCTCTGCGAGCGCGAGCAGCTGTTTCGCGCCCGACTAGTGCTTGCCCGAGCACCCGACGCCCTTCAACGCTGACGCCCTTCCACGGAAAGGTCGCGGGGTTCGCGGAAACCGCTTGCCCCGCTGCCACCGCGAGGCCCGGGCCAAGTTCCACCTCCCCCCCTGGCCACCTCGCGATGTAGTGGCCAGGGATTCCAGCTCCTGGTGACGAGCACCTCCCTAACCGAGACCTCGCACGCGGCCGCCCCCCTGGCGGCGGCGCCACTGCCGCTTCCGCCACCACCAATCCCTCCCCTCCCCAATGTCGCCTCAACGCTTGCGTCGACCACCGCTGGGGACCTCCAACCAGCGACGGCGACCGCGTTGGGTAGGGCGCCAGCCCAGAGCCTCCCCCGACTGGATGGCCACCCCCGCGCTGGCCCAGCAGCACGCCCTCGAGCACCAGGACCATCGACTACGGGGAAGTCTTCGGTGATCGCCGCACCCGCGTCGGCCAGCCCGCGCGCGAGCTCGGCGGCCAGCCTGGGCCATGGGCCCGCGGCATCCCCCGGGCGCTCGCCTTGCCCGCGGTCGGCGGCAGGCTGTTGGGCGGGGCAGGGCGAGAAGGCCTCTGGCAGCACCCCGAGCTGGCGCGCCTGGGCGGAGGGAGGCCGCCGCGGGCGGCAGGAGCTCCACGCCGCCGCCGCCGCCGTCGAGGCCTCCGCCATCAGCAGGGCAGCTGTCGGCCCACGCCGCACGGGCTAGTAGACGGAAAGGCCCGCGCTCAGGGATCGCCGCCGCCTTCTGCGAGAGGGCCTCACCGTTTCCGCGGGGTTCGCCCCGGAGCCCTGCCAGAGCTGCTCGATCTGGCGGGGGAGCCCGTCAACCAGCTCGCACGGGCTGCCTCCTGAGAGGGCCGCCTCCGCTGCTCTCGCCTGATGGCGCTCCGCCTCCTGGAGGGCCGCGCGCTGCTCCTCGCGTTCCTTCTGGGCCTGCTCCACCGCCTGCTCGCCGCCCGCTGGTGGGCCTGGTGGAGCGCCTGTGACGCCTCGGCCAGGGCGGACTCGGCACCCTGCAGAGCCTCCTCGTCGCCGCGGACCCCGCCCCCCGCTATACCGAGCGCGAAGCACGCCGAGCGCAGGACGGCTGTCTTGGGCCGCGCGGCCCAATTGGCCAGCTGCTCCGTCTCGAGGGCCTCGTCGAGCAAGCTCCTCTGCCTCGCGGGCCCCTCCTCCAGGTCACCGCGCGTCACCGACAAAAGGCCGACGAGCGGCCCCTCCAGAAACCCCTCGCGCTGCACGACCTCGCGGCGAAGACCATCGGAAAAGAAGGCTCAGCTCCTCCTGGGGTGTTGCCCTCGTTGGCGCCAGGAGCGCTCTCTCCGCCGCCGTCCGCATGGCCTCCGCGGGCAGCCTGCCGCGCCGTGGCTCGGGCTTTGCGGGCAGCGGCGCGTCCGCGCCCCTGCACCACCCAGCCGCCCGAGTCGGCGAGGACCTCTGGCGGCGCGGCAGCTCCAGCCGAGAACCTCGGCTCGACCGCACCGACCAAGGCGGGGCGATCCGGCCGCAGGCCCAGCACTCTGAGCGGGTGCACCAGCTCCACTCGCGACGCGCCGGGAAAAATGTATGCGAGCCAGATGGGTCACCAAAGTGTTGGGCGCTACATCGACGACGAGGCCGGCCTCGACAGCAGTGGGCTTCTTCAGTGTACGGTCTGAGGCAATCTCGCCTTCCTCCCTCCCCTCCCCCTTCTTAGTTTTGCAGCACTCATTGTACACTTTCAGTCCATGTTTTCCGTTCGGTTGCCAACGTCGCAACCAGAGTTTGCCAACGCGTCCCACCGGATGCACGGCCGAGCGAGCGAGCGAGCCCCACCGCCCACGCGGTCTCCTGCTGCCACGGCCGCCTGCGGCGGAGCCTGCACGGACAGGTGTCATGTGACGAGTGCCCGCCGACTGCAAAACTTTCAATTACAAAGTTGCGCAATCATTTGGCTCTTAGCGGAGCGCCCCTCGCGCTCAGAATCGCCCGGCGGACCGGTGCGCCGTGGCCTTGAACCAAACCGGCTACTGACAGTGAGGGCATTGAATCAGAAACCCAGGGTCTGGAGTCTGGAGGCCAGGCGGACCACCGATTTAGGCTTGACCATCGGCATCACCGCCGCCCTCATCAGATAAGGAATCATCCAGGGTCTGATGCCTCCTGGACACGTGTCCTTAGCCACAGTGGGGGGGTAAAAAAACTGTGAACAATGGTTGTCTTGTCTTGACACCGCTTCGCATCCGTCCCCATCGTCAACGATGATCGTTCGATGCTGCACCGCAGGCAATTTGGCCCGAAGAGCCCTCAGGGGGCGAAACGCGTGAAAGGAAGCTGAACAGGGGCTACCTGTCCTCTTTCAGGCAAAACGAATTAGGCTGCTTGAGGCCTGGTGCAGCAATCGCGGCCTAAGATGGGCTCACGTGCGGAGCCAGAAGCCAGAGAGATAAGAAAGGACACTCCTCAGAAGTTTGCTCTGCCTCAGGAACTTGGAGCAGAAGGGTGCAGAACTGCTCGAAGTATGCAGACACCCAACTGGAATACTTAAGCACATGTGAAAGCGGCATAATGTTTTGTAATGGGACATTGAACTGGCGGCACCGTCACCACTGCCGTTTCTGGAGCCCGTGCGGAACAAAAAGAATTCGTGGCAAGCTTGAAAATCCTGGAGCGCATCACTCTCATGAATTCTTGCTCCTCTGATTTTGGAAGCGCCCCCGCACTCGTATGAACTGCTTATTTTCTTTCGATCCGCGCAGAAGTGCTGCCCACAGGCGCGTACCCGCCGTCACTCTAAACGTTCACGATACTAGCATTCAGAGATCTGAAAAAATAGAAACGCCATCTGAGAAACACCCTGCCCCTTCCTTTGGATGGCCGCCCCCCTTGCCCCCCCCCCCTTTCTGCGCGCCGGCAGGCCTTGTGGAGGTGCGCCTGGAAGTCCTTGAAGGTGGAGTTCTCGGAGAGGCCAGGGTAAAACTTGGGGCGCTGCAGGATGCCCACCCTCCGGGCCCAGGTCACTGCGGAGTAGCACACATCGCCAGTCAACGAGTCGCGGCACTCGTCAGACGCGTCCCCGGCGGGGAGGCGTGCCCCCGAGGGCTCCTGGGCTGTGGGGGAGGGGCAGAACGATACGGTTACACTACTCTCTGGGCCTCTACCCACGGCCCGTTCTACCTAGGATTCCGAGGCGGATCCAGCCGTGGCGACGAGAGCCCCCCCCCTGGAAGCCGGGGAGGGCGAGAACGAGGGATGGGTATCGGTATCGGTATCCGTTTTCTCCTCCGAGCTCCTGGACCACGTCCTTCTCAGACTCGGAGGGGAGGTAGTCCTCCTCGGAGAGAACGCCCGCCGAGGCGGAGGCGTTCGCATCCTCCGCATCCTCCTCTCGGGACGAAGGACAGCGCGGAGTTCGTGACAGGTAAGTCGGAGGCGACGGTAGGGGCCAATAGACCAGGGGCGGGCGTTACACGTATCTCTCCGGGAGCCTCGCCGAAGACCTGGATCATCGGCGCCATCTGGATACATGTGGTGCTCCCCCCTGTGCTATTCGCCTCCACCGTCGCCTCCGAGTGAAGGGGGAACCAGCTGCGTGCAGCCAGTTCCTCCGGCGCCGCCCAGCGCCGGAAGCAACCGAATATCGAGGAGAGTGCCTGGCGCCAGAGCCGAAACCAGCTGCGTGCTGCAGTCCTCGTGCCCGCCCTTTCCCACCCACGCTTTTCGCCCGCCCCGATCCTTGGCGGGGGCTCCGTTCGCGGCGACGGCATTCGTGTACTCCTCGAACGCGCGCTCCTTGTCTGACACCACGTGCGTGGCGACACGGCTCGTGTACTCGTCGGCGTCAACGTAGCCGTCCCACTCGTGGGTCAGGTACCTCGCCAGCTCCTCCACGGTCATGTCGTCCGCACTCTTCTTGACGCGCTCAGTTCGGTAGATCTTCTTGATCTGCTCCTGGGGGCAGGGCCTGTCGCAGCCGAACTGCCCACGCAGGTACAGGTGTTCCTGGACCTCGGAACGAGTAACATCAGGGCTGAGCTCGGGAAACTCTTCCGGGGTCTTCCAGAGGCTTTCGTTCATGACATGCGTGATCGCCTCGTAGCACTGGGAGCCTAGACGCGCGTTGTTGCACTCCGTCCAAGTTTCGTCGACCCTCTTGACAGAGGGGCTGACCACAGCCCGCGCGACATCCTGTCCAGTGGTGGTTGCCACCTGCTCAACCACGGACGCTAGGGCAGAGGAATTCGACGAGCAGGGCATCGGGCAGCCCACCTTGTGCTCAGCATGCAGCACGGCCTGGAACTTCTGCGCGCTGGACTCGTGGATGAGCGTGGGGTACCAGTCCGGATGCTTCTCCAGGCCGACGTGCTTCAGCCACATGATGGAGAGGTAGCACCAGTCGCCCTCCTGAATGTCGCCGCACTGCTCGGACTCCGAGAGCTCGTAGGCCTCGCTCTCAACCTGCCGGCCGCCCTCGACCTCGAGCACCCTGTCGTCTGGCGAATCCTCGACCGGCTTTGCGAAGCGGGCCTGGCAGGGCATTGGGCAGAAAGCCTTGCCCATTGCATACAGCACGAACTGCACCTCCTGCATGGTGGACCCTTCGCTGAGCGACGGGTACCACTCGGGGTGATTCACCACACCCTTGTCCTGGAGCCACGCCGCTGCGTGGTAGCACATGCTGCCGGGCTGCGCGTCCTGGCAGCTCGCGTTGCTGGATGTTGGCCAGCTGCTCTCCATCACCTCTGAGAACTCCGCGGGCCTCATGCCGTACGTCTTGTCGAGGCCGACCCTCTTGAAGAGCGAGTCGGCGGCCGCGTAGGTCCGCCTGAAGAGCAGGTCAGCGGACGCTTCGGCGGAAGCGCCCATCCTGTCCATGGACACTCTGCCCATCTTCTCATTGTGGACCCGAACGATCCCCAGCGCAAGGTATGTATGGAGGAAGAGGCCCACCACGAAGTGGCGGCTCATCGCTGCTAGGAAAGTCGAGTGGCTTGGTTAAACTGTCAAAGGCTTAGAAATTAGCTACGGACCGATGGCTCGCACAAATACGTTCTTCTTCCTCTCGGCCAGCCCGCTCTAAAGTTTGCCGAGCGCTCCCTGGACACAACCCTGTCTAGTTCTTCGAGCCGCCCCCAGCTCCAGCAACGATGACGGAATCCGCGAGGGGGACACTGACTCAGCGGGGGGGCATCGGCCTGGAATCGGCGATGCGCCGCCGACAGGCGGGCGATGCGCCCCCGACAGCGAAACCAAACGCTCCCGGAGGGTGGGGCGCTCAAGCCCCGATCGGCGATGAGTGGGCGGTGAGCGATGAGGGCTCGATGCATCCAGCCTCTGGGCCAACACTCGAGGGCACCGAGACCGTGTGGTGATGGACCGAGTGGTGACCTCGAAATCCCAAGAGACCTCACCGCGCGACCTGTCACCGCACGGTTTTGAAGGACCTCGGAAGCCCAGGTCCCCCGAGAGACGTCCTGGGAGAACGACCCGAGTCCCAAAGCCGTGGGGCGACTTCGCCTCCCCCCTGACTCGCCAGACCGTGCGTTCACCACACTGTTTCTAGGGCCCCCGAGACACTCGGCCGCTCCCCTCCCCCCCGAGCTGGCCATCGCTCGGACGTCCATTCCCTGTGTTTTTTTCGGTTTCGTGCGTGGTTTTTTCGCCAAATGATCAAGGATGCTCCTCGATGGTCCTCGCCGAAGGAAAAATGCACACGTCCCAGCGATGCCAAGCGAGGCCTCGCAAACGAAGGACCCGCCCGAGGGCCAGCATGAGAGCCAGGCCGCCCCGGGAGGGCCACGACGAGACGCGGCCGCCGGGAAGGGGGGGAGGCCGACGGGCCGCGGCGCGCCCGGGGCACCGGCAGCGCCGCCCGGCACCGGGGACGGCTCCCTGGAGGTACCCCGCCGCCGCGGCCGCCGGAAGGGCCCCGGGAGCTCCCTGGAGATTCCCTGGAGGTTCCCCCAGAGGCTCCCCCAGAGGTTCCCTCGAGGAGAAAGAATGGGGGAGGAGGGGGAGGAGGTGGAGGTGGAGGTGGAGGTGGAGGTGGTGGTGGTGGAGGAGGAGGAGGAGGAGGAGGAGGAGGAGGTGGGGCAGGAGGAGGAGGAGGAGGACCAGTGCAAACCCAAGGCGCACCAGCGATGTTGCAATAAACCCTCCCTCCAAGTTCCCTCCGCAATAGGTCCTCACAAGAATGTATCTTCATTGCGAGAAATGCCCCATTGGAAGACGACCGTCTTAGAAACCTCGGTCGTGTCATAACACCGTTCCTGGGACGTCAACGCCGCGAATCAATGTGAACGCTGCGTCTTGACAAATCGTGCCAGAACACCATTCAAGGGTCAACACAACGAATCAACGTGACTGTTGCGTCCTGAACCCTAAATCGAGGCAGGACACCATCCGAATCCTTCAACCTGTTGCAATTGCTTGGAACGAATGTGCGTGGCGCTTAAGTAAAAGCCACACTTTGACAAAGGATCACCCTCCATCCGTGAAGCTGCTGCATGTGTTACAACGAATCTGCGCGGCGCTACAACGAGGGCCCGATAATATAATGTTAAAAAAGCGGCGCTAACGCGAAAGCAGCATTTTGAAAATGGCCCGCCCTATCCTTGAAAGTGTTGCACACTTGTAAGTCGAGTGAGCGCGGCGCTAAAGCGAGACTTTCATTTTGAAATCGGCCCATCCTCTGTCCGCGAAGCTGAAGCAAGTGCCAAGCTAAAAGATCATAAATGGTGGGGAAATCTCAGGCGAAACGCCCGGCCCGCCCTACAGACACGCCTGGGGGGGGGGGGGGGGGGGGCGACAGCGAGTATCTATTCAGGAGGAGGAGGAGGAGAGGGAAAAGGAGGATCCGGCGGCGCCGCCTCAGCAAGCTGCCCCTACTATGCGGATGGACGCGCAGCGCCGTAGCTCACCTGGGCCTACCTATCGACGAACCCCTGATGCTCCCTTGAAGCCTCTGGAAGCCCTGGAATCCGCCACAGACTCCGCCTGGGAGGGGCTTCCTGCGACACTGGGCCGCCTCCCTGGGAGGCGTCCCAGCCCGAGGGGGCCCATGGAATGCCTGTGGAGGGCCTGGAGGCCGCCGGAAGCGCCTGGAGCTGGGAGTCCCTGGATGGCGTTGAGGGGGGGGGGGGGGGGCCACGCCCAGTGGAGGGGCTCCCAGTGGAGGGGCTGGCCTATTTTGAGAGAGCTCTGCGACCCCTCGACGGCTTTCGGCGTGTATCCTTTCTTCCCCCTCTTCCCTCAATTGCGTTCAGCGTCCGTCTCCGAGAACTCACACCTGGCTGTCCGCGACGTGAACTGCGTATTGCTAGGGTGTTCCGTCGACGTTGGCTCGTGGTCCTCAGTACATATTCGGAAATAACCTGCGTAGAGAAGCCTTCCAAAGATAGAGGAAGAACGGGGGGAGAAGAGGGAGAGGAAACGGGAGGCAGAGACGAGGAAGAGGCAGACGAGGGAAGAAGAGAAGGAGGCGGAGGAGGGGAGGAGGCGAAGGAGGGGAGAAGAGGAGGGAGGGGGCAGGGAGTGGGCCCGCGCCCTGGCTCTCAAGACCCTACCCGACCGTCCTTCTCGTTGCCAATCTCGGCCAGAAAGATGTCGCCCGGCTCCATGGTGTCCTTCAGCGGCTTACCATCCAGGTGGTGGACAAGGTAGCCGCGGGCCCCCCTTTACGCCTCGGGAGCAGCCAGGTGGAAAGCACGTCTTGCAGAGATGTCCTGGGGGAGGGAGGGGTCACAAAGAGTGGGTTTGTCTGAGTGTGAGCCTGAGTATGAGTCTGAGCGCGACAAATCATTGTGTGAGCGGTCTGTGCGTACGAGTCTGAATATGCCTAAAATCAATGTGGGTGAGTATGAGTGCAAGTGCGTTAAATATGAGTGAGTCTAAATATAAATGGCTCTGAGTCTCAGCGGATGTGAGTGCGTGCGGCGTGACTAAGAACAGTCTGGGTATGAGTGAATATCAGCGGGAGTGGGTCCGCTTGTGAGTGAGTCTGAGTATGAATGAGTCTGTCAGTGAGTCTGAACATGAGAGTCTTAGCAAGAACGCCAACCTTAGCAGATGGGATGAATAACAGCAGCAGCATGAAAACAGGAGGAGGAAACAAGGAGGGAGGAGGAAAAGGAGGAGGAGGAAACGAGGAGGGAGGAGGAGGAGGAGGAGGAGGAGAAGGCCTGAATGCTAATGGGGTAGCTCCAGAACCGCTCTAGAGCTAGCGAGGAGGAGGAGGAGGAAGAAGAAGAGGAAGAGGAGGAAAAACGAAGGAGGCGGAGGAGGACTAGGAAAAGGAAGGGGAGGAGAAGGAGGAGAACGCTGATCCCCCACTCGAATTCGCTGGTCCCCAACGCTCCCGCGACCGTCCACCACTCGTCTGCCACGGTCCTCAGTGTATCAGTCGTGCCTCTGGCTCTGTACGTCTGGTCACTCGGAGGAAGAAGGCGACGACGAAGAGGACCAGGAAAACCACACGCGCACGCTCAGCTCACACACGCTTCTTAAACAACGGGATCAGGACCACTCGGGAGAAGGGGAAGCGGCGGGCAAGGCGGGGGCCCGCTGGAGCCATCGATTCCCGCCGCGGCGAACACGCCCACCACGGTGTCGGAGAGCCCAGAGCGCGGCGGCAGCGCCGCGTTGTCGAGGGCCGCCCAGGTCGTCTGCAGGGCCGCAGCACGAGGAAGGGGGGGTAGGAGGGCTAGGCTGGGGCTGAATAGGATGGCAGGGGACGGAAGCAGAGGAGGACTTGGAGGCGTCAGGGAATGGCTGTCGGAGTGGGACTGGGAATGACAGTGAGTGGGAGCGGGGCCAGGCAGGGGGACGGGACTGGGCTGAATGGGATGTTTTCTGTCTCGGCAAAGTATCAAACGTTTTTATGCTCAAGGTGGTCCAGCAAGACGACAGTGCCACGGATTGGGTTGAGGGCTGGGGCTGGACGCGGAGGGGAATGGGAGTGGGAGCAGGAACGGGAATGGCAGTGCGAGCGGGAACGGGAGCGGGGGTGGGAACGGGAATCGAGTTCGCCAGGTCGAACGAGTTATCGAACGAGTTATCGGGCCCCGTTCGCTCCCACCCTCCCTCCCCGAACACCCGCATCAAGTATGGCACGATTGATTACCGGGAGTGGATCGCATTCCCCTCCAGCCAACGGAATGCCTTCGGGCACGGTCACGCTTCCAACGACCTTGAGCGGCAAAACTTCCGATGAGCCCGATGAAGACGATACATGCGCCGCGCCGAACCAGCATCGCCACGTTCACACACAAACGGTGCGGCGCTTGGGCGAGCACAGCCTTTCGCCCGCACTCGCGCGGCCCCGCTGCCGCAGCGGTTGGCATGCGATTCGGCAAAGGAAGCATGCGCCGCGCCCACACGGGAATGCCACTTCCACGCGAAATCTCCACGAATGCTGTGCGAGAGCGACAAGTCGCAAGGTCGCGCGCGGCCCCGCCTCCAACGGCTTGGCGAGTGAAACGTGTGCGCCGCGCCGAGGCGGGAAAGCCACTTTCAGACGAAATCTGCGCGGCGCCAAAGCGAAAGCGACCTGTCCGCTGGATCGTGCGTCCACGATGTGTCGAGCCTAACATGTGCGCCGCACCCAAACTTGAACTCAGCTTTCAGGAGCAATGAGCGCGGCGCCAAGGTCAGAGCAGCATTTCTCCCTTTCGCGCGGGGTACGCGCCGCGTCCCATTTCTGCCACGCACTTTGCAACGGGGACGACTGCCAATGCTGCAACGACGGACGTCAACTTCGCACTGTGTTCTTGATGGGCCCGATGGACCTCACGGATGTGATCGCCATCGGCCAGCAGGGTGGCAAAGTGGGAGCAGACACAAATAGTGAATGAAGATGAGAGTGGCGTGGAAGCGGGAGTGGGAGTCGGAGAGAGAGGGAAAGAGAAAGAGAGAGAGAGAGATATACGTAAACAAAAACAATATAAAGAAAGAAAAGGAACGAAAGAGAGATACATGAAAAATGACACTTGCATCCAAACATGTACACAGAGAGAGAGATATATAATAAACAACAAATACAAAAAAAAGAAAACAAACCATCAAGCAAACAAACAAAAAACGAAAGAGAGAAAGAGAGAAAGCGAGAGAGGAAGAGGGGGAGAGGGGGAGGGAAAGGAAGAGCGAGAGAGGGAGAGAGGGAGAGGAGGAGAGGCAGAGGTGGAGGAGGGAAAGGGGAGAGGCAGGGGGGGAAAGCGGACCGGGAGGAGCGGCAGAGGGGAGGAGGAGGGGAGGGGGAGGAAGGCGGGAATCGCGGGGTTGGAACGCCACGAGACAAACGAGGATGAACTCGTGACCAGCAGATACAAAAAGCACGGGCCCAACAAATCTCCTCGATGAAGACGCGGTGCTGCGGATCCATGTGCGCTGCCTCGTTCCGGTTGATTCCGAAGAACTGATGGT